GCACTTGTGGCTGATGCTTCTCTGTTAACCTCTTCTGTATCGCTCATCGTTTATGTTTTGGTTATTTCATAATGCAGCTGCCACCCAGATATGAGCTGCTCCAGGCAGCTGGGAAGTTAAGTATCTATTATCGATAGCCCCCAATATTAGCAAAAACTCCCTTTACTCTCAAAATCTCACTAAATTAGCCAACAAACTCATCCTGTTGCCAGTGTCATTTACCCAAAGTCTTTTTCACAGTTTAGACAAGATTCTTTTCCAGGGCCAAGGATAGACCCCAGGGCCTGGAACACACTTTGAACTGCCCTGTGCTGAGCTATACCCAAGTCATACATGTTTTACATATCCTGGAGGGTAGGGGAAGGCTATGCTATTGGGTATCCTTTTTTTTAAAGGGCAAATTTATTGTGTGTGTTTGAGTGTTTATTTGCATATTTGTATGTGCACCACATGAGTGCAATGCCCCTAGAGTCCAGAAGAGGGCATTGGATCCCCAGAACTGAAATTAAGGGTATTTGTGAGCTGCTGTGTGGGTGCTGGCAACTGAACCCAGGTCCTCTGCAAGAGCAGCCCAGCATTTGAACTGCTGAGCCAACTCTCCAGCGCATGTTCTTGGGGATTCTTCTGCCTCCCTGGCTTCTGCTTATTCATATGTGCTGCATAAAACCAGATTTGAAATACACCCTACATGCTTTCCACACATGCATCAAAATCCAGTCTAACATTGTACCCATGATCCCAGCAGACTCCACTGAAACCTGGAGCTAATGGAAAGGAAAGTCACACCACGGGCAGTCTAACAAAGTAGACATCTCTTTTCCCTCAGTCTTCCAGAGGCAGCAGGCATTACCCTTCCCCCAGCTATTGTGTATGCGTCTCCCCAGTTCCTTTTACTTTCCTGATTAGGCCAAGCATTGCATCAGTCTCCGTGCTAACCCCTACACCTGTTCAGCCAGATCGATCAGCTTTCTTATCAAATATTTAAAAACACCCAGGCTCCTTGCAAGGCAATTAGAGATGCAAAAACCCACATGAGTGAGACTGTGTGTGTGTGCGTGTGTCTGTGTGTGCGTGCATGTTTAGTTACAGTAAACGTACATCTTTCATGTCTCCATTTGTCAAGTTCTCTTGCCAAATTCTCCCTTTCTGCCCTGCATTGTACCTCTATGTTTTCTTTTTGTAGCACCTAAAATCTATTCAGTTTTCCCCGATATTTTAAATTGCATCTGGAATATATTGCAATGGCGACAGCAAAGAGTGGGGAATAGAGATTATATTGCATCATTGCTCACCGACAAAACCTAACTTGATCCAAGTCATCTTTAAAAGTCTTCAGGCCACTTTCATGGCCAGGCGTAACTGAGGATAAAGAGTAAGTGGAACCCTCAAACATGGCTACCGGTAGCATCCTGGGCATCTTCATTTAGAAACACTGCTTAATACTTTCCAAAAACTAAATGTGCATATGGCTTTGGCGCTGAAATTCTGCTCCTTGGCATCCACCTAACAAAATTATAGACGTATTTTCACCAAAAGACAGCAGAAAAATCTTAATAGTTCAAAAGCTAAAAAAAAGTGCAAATTTTCAAGAAAAGTAAAACAGCTGAGTGGAATGACTACAAAATGCAAGACAATGAAGAAATGGAAAAATAAAATATGATGCAACTCACAGACAGACCAAAAATACATATTATTCAGTAACGGAAGCCAGGTACCAAAGAGTACTTACTATAGGATCCTATCCATATAAGACACCGAGATAGCCCACACTCATCCTTGGTGTTAGAGAGCGTGATACTAAAACTACTTATCGCCTGATGTGGAAGCGCATGTCTTTAATCCCGGAATCCTGAAGACAGAGGCAGGAGGACCTCTGTGAGTTCAAGGCCAGCCTGGTCTATATGGTGAGTTCTGAGACAACCAAGACTACATAGAGAGACCCTGTTCCTATTTTAAGAAAAAAAAAATTTAAAACAACTCTTGGGTTAGTGATTTAGTAAGGGAATGCAAATTGCTTGGAATTCTGGGGAATATCACTTCTTCGCCTGCGTCTGGCTACACTTATGTCTGCACATCATGAACTATCCACACGTGTGTGCTTTCATCTTCTTTAATTTTAAATTTGTTTTCAGTCAATACAGCTGCCACTCCAGGCTGGGACTCAGATGAGTACATCACTCAGCCCTCATCAGAGAAGCTTCTCGCAGTAGATGGAAATTGACACAGAGACCTCCAAGAGGACAGTGTGCAGAGGGTGAGAGACTTGGAGCACTCGGCCCTGAATGGGATGTCTTTATCAAACCCCTCCCCTCAAAACTCAGGGATTTCTGCATAAGGGAAGCCAGCAAGATTGTAAGAGTCAGAGATGGTAGAGGGCATCAAGGAAACAGCCTCTTCCAGACGCATCAGGACTGATGCACATGTGAACTCACAGAGCCTGTGATAGCTCGCACAACACCTGCAGAGTCAAGCCAATGGAGATTCCAGCACAGAGAAGGGAAAATGGACATTGTCTTAATTAGGGTCTTATTGCTGTGACGAGACACCATGATCATGGCAGTTCCTAGAAAGGAATACATTTAATTTGGGCTGGCTTAACAGGTTCAGAGGTTAAGTTCATTATAGTCATGGTAGAAAACATGGTGGCATGCAGGTAGACATGGCACTGGAGAGGTAGCTGAGAGTTCTACATTCAGACCAGCAGGCAGCAGGAAGAGTGACACTGGGCCTGGCTTGAACATTTGAAACCTCAAAGCCCCTCCCCCAGTGACACACAACAAGGGCACATCTACTCCAACAAGGTCATGGTACTCTATATGGGCCTATGGGGCCATTTTCATTCAAACCACCACAGATACAAAGTCCCATCTCTAACCAAGAAGTCCTCTGCAATAGATACCTTTTGGAAAAAGAGGAAACTAATTTTTTCTAATGAAGTGTCACTAAATATACCAACCACACTTAAGAGCAGACCCAATGCCCAAAAATATTCTGCCAACAAAAAAAAAAATGAACTCTATGTGTTTTTTTTTTTTTTGTGTGTGTGTGTGTGTGTGTGTGTGTGTGTAATTTTTGCTTTGTTTTGGTTTTGCTTTGTTTTGCTTTTTGGTTTGATTGATTTTATGGTTTTTAGTTTTCCCTGCTCTGATTTTCACTTTTGCTGTTGTTTTCTTGTTTATTTTAGAGAAAGTAGGGAGTAAAGTGGAGACATCTGGGAGGAGTTGTGGGAGGGGAAAGAATATGATCAAAATATATGAGAAAATTTAAGAGAAGTTTTTAAAGAAAAATTCTTTTAGCTGGGAATTGAACAGAGGACTTCATACATCATAAGCATATGTAGTATTTCTGAGCTATACTCCCAGCTCTGTGTACTGATGTGTGTGAGAGTAAAGGGTGACATAACAAGCCAATATGCTTTTCTGTAAGGCCTAGAACTTACTTAGGGAGTCTTTTAAGTTTACTTCCTCCCAGCGCCAGTCCATTGTAAGTGACTCAATATTACATCTTAAATTTACAAGCAAATGGATGGAACTAGAAACAAAAATGATCCTGAATGAGGTAACCCAGACCCAGAAAGATAAATATAATAGATATTCAACATATGTGGATATTAACATTGATATAAATAATAGCCAAGATACAATCCATAGACCCAAAGAGGTTAGGTCTAGAGGAAGGGACTAGGGGACACAGACACATGGATCTTCCTGGGAGGGGGAACTAGAGTAGATTTTATAGTAGAGTGGTGGCATGTGGGTCAGGAGCAAGAGGATCGGGTTGGGAAGGGGAGAGAAGATGGGGTTGAGGGACAGGATGCAGGGAGAGACAACTAGAATACTGCTCAGATAGCCCAGAGATCTAGGGAAAAAGCAAATACTACTGGTCTAAAAAATAGTTACAATCAAATGATTCCTAATGATATTCTGTTATACTCATTGATCAGTGACTAGTTCAGCATCATCAGAGAGGCTTCCTCCCACAGCAGATGGGAACAATAGAGAGACAGACCACAGTCTCACTTTTGCAAAGAGTGAGCAATTTGCACACACAGCTCTAAATAGGAAATTCCTTCCCTTAGAGCTCAGGGGATCCCACAGAAGAGGAAGGAAAAGAGGGTGTGAGTCAGAGAGGATGGAGGGTGCCAGGGAAGAAAATGACATGGCTAAATCAACTGAGCAAAGAACTCGCCAGAGACTGAAGCAGCAAGCTCAGGGCCAACCAGGTCTTCTCTAGGGCCTCTGCATATATATTACAGCTTTCTGTTTAGTTTTTTTTTTATGGGACTCCTGAGTGTGTAAACAAGTGGGCCTCTGAGTCTTGAGCCTTCTCGTGGGGCTCTTTTCCTTCTGTAGACCAGACTGGCCTCAAACTCACAGAGATCCTGCCTCTGCCTCCCTAGTGCTGGAATTAAAAATGTGTGCCACCACTGCTTGGTGATCCTGGTCTTTTCTAATAAGAGACAGGAAGGGGGTAGATGTAGTTGGGGGAGGTAGGAAGGAACTGGGAGGAGTGGAGGGAGAGGAAACTAGTTAGGAGATATTTTTAAAAATTAAAGAAGAAAAATCACTAGCCACATAGAGTATAACAAAGACCATAAAGTATGTGCCCCCAACAACCACCATACAGGATGGGACAATATATCAATAATGGACTTCTACTCCTCGTAATCAGACTTGGGCTTTATACGGTGCCCTTCTCACGGTGTTTCTGAAGCACTCAAAATGATAAAACTTCCAGTCAACTCCCATAAAAAAAACTCCGTGATAAACTAATAACTGTCCTGGATCTCACAGAGACCCTCTTACCTCTGCCTCATATCCTGGGATTAAAAGCATGTGCCACCATGCCCAGAGATGAATTAAGATTTAATCATGATTGTTGATTGTTTTAATTACTTACTCTGGACACATTCTTGTGGCCTCCTCTTTTGGGAAGAATTAATCATCTTATAGACAGTTCCAGAGACAGTTATTATAAGGCATTTTATGTTGTTCCATCTCACATAAACAAAGGGTGAAATATCAGAACTAAAACTGGGCTCTGGATTCTCCAAACAGCAGATAGCATTAGAAATGGAAATTTTATCAAGATATGTTCAAAAGGGAACTTTGGCTCAGATTTTCAACAGTGTCTAAAACTAGAATTCAAGAAATTATGCCCCACAATAATCAGATATGTAGATTAAAAGAGTTTATTAAATAATATATAACAAAATTGTAAGAGACATTTTTAGAATGTTTACGTAGGTTTCCAAAGCTATGTTTTCTATAAACATTGATATAGCCCCAAACATGAAAGTCTGTAGGGAGGCTTTTGTGGTGGTTTGAAAGAAAATGTCCCCCAAAAGGAGTGGCACTATTAGGAGGTGTGGCCTTGTTGAAGTAGGTGTGACCTTGTTGGAGGAAGATTGTCACTGTGTGGGCAGACTTTGAGGTCTCTTTTGCTCAAGCTTCATTCAGTGTTACACTCAGTCTACTTCCTGTTGCCTGCATATCAACATGTAGCAGCTCCTTCTCCAGCACCATGTCTGCCTGCACACTGCCATGCTCCCCACCACGATGATAATGGACTAAACCTCTGGAACTGTAAGCCACCACCTCGATTAAATGTTGCTGTGGTCATGGTGTCTCTTCACAGTGATAGAAACCCTAAGAGAGCTTCTTTAGTCCATAAGTTGCCTTAGCCTTATGAAGAATCAGGGTTTCATGTATATTCAAGGATTCTGAGGGTGCCTTTCATGAAGAAACCACTTGGAAGGCTGATGTTGTCTGCTTCCTTCACATATGGGATGTGACAGATAGTGGACTTCAAAATCCCTCCCGCATGTGTAGAAAGACGATCAGAATATTTTGTATTGAAATCCGTGTGGAAAGCCTGTGACCGTTTTGCTCCGTTGCCAAGCGTCAATAACCCTAATGGAAGATACTCGCTGTCAGTGACGCCCATGATTTCACCTTGTGACAGGTTTGCAAGATGACCCTGTGGGCTGGCATTCCATTTCAGGTCACCAGGTTTCGGCAATTTCTGTGAGAACCTGAAGCAGTTCGGCAAATGTCGGGCGACTTTTAGGGTTCTGGAAAAGGGAAAGAGAGCTGGTGAGCTTGACTTGCTTTTCACTCAGACACCAGCTGTGGAACTTCAGGACGAGACCTCAGCCTGTGCTGGCTCTGCACAAACTGAAGAGAAGCATATCTTAGCTGACACACAGCGGCACGGTTTGCATGTGAGCAAGGTATGGATGAGCGTGGAAGAGTATAGAGCATTGCACAGATAAAATGGCTAGAGTCATACACACTAGTGTTATGTGGCTATGTAAATCAATTAAAGATGAATACGTATTTCAACTTGGTTTTTCAATCTTACTAGCCACTTTGCAAATTCTCTGTAGCCAGAAGTGGCTACTGTATAGACAGAACACACATAGACTATTCCTACTATAACAGAAATTTCTTTTGGAAAATGATGGGTCTTTGGAGTGTGAGGTCCCCAATTCAGCATCAGTTGTTCACCACATTGGTCCCCTCTAGCAGAAAGGATTTCACATAGAAAGCAAGAGGTATGTCTGCTGGAGGGGACTTTGTAGACCCTGGAGCACAGTCAAGCAAACCTGTGCAAGCAGAGATCAGAACACCTTTCCCAGTTTTACTTTTCAGTGGTTTACCTCTGTCTCCCAGAGGAGAAGACATGGTACTGTTGGCATCTTTAGGATCTTTGGGAGTTAGAGCTACTCAGGAATGGAAGGGGGCCAGAGTGTGAGCGCACATCATGAGCCTCGATGAGGCTCCAAGAATAAATCGTGTTGCCTTTCTGGAAGGTTCAAATTCAGCAGGTGAAATCTCTGGCATGTTTATCAACAGTAACACGATGTTTTTTCTAAATTAATAAAGTCCCTTTATTCCGATTAACTCACAATCAAAAATACCATATAGCCTGTTTAAGGACACCATTCAAATATTTCCTTAGCCCCAAGCTCTATACATCTCAACACAGTTCTATACAGTTAAAATGGCCATCTGTAAGCCTCAGGACTATTAGACCCCCACAATTAATTACATTCTATTAACTTACCTTACACACACACACACACACACACATATACACACACAGAGAACTGTGACAGAGTTGAAACTAGAAAAAGTAGCTTTATATTTTATTCTAATGTGTGTGCATTGTTTGAGTAAATTTTCTAACTGTAATTTGAGACTAAGATTGTGTACTTATTCCTTCTATGATACCCTGTTTACCCTCTTGCTCATAACCACATACAGAATATAGAAAACCGCAATGCCCTATGCATGTGTATAGGTTTATTAATGCTCCTTGACTTAGGACACGGTCACCACCCAATAAAGCCATTCTAAGTAGAAAACGCCAAGCACTCAAGATGCATTTTACACAAGTGCTCTACCATAAATCACACCCGGCAGCAGTTTGCAGCAATCACTGGTTCATTCCTTTGATCTGTGGCTGCCGGGGAGATGCCCCTTCCCAGCTTTCCAATAGAGGCTCATATTTTCTATTATTCACCAAGGGAAAGATCAACATTCAATGCTTGAAATATGGCTTTATAAAGTTGGAAAGTTCCAAGTCAAAGCCACCATAGACACCATCTGCGTGTTCCTATGCTATTTACATCATGATGGCAAAGTCATTCCTGAGGCAGCTGTTGCTACCAACAGCTTACTTAACAATTCTGTCTTTCAAGATTCCTTGTGGAGAAATTAATAGTCCCTGTGTTCATACACTGGAGAATCTTCCTAAGTGAAATATTTTTCTGGAATATGAACAACCACAACACTTTCTTTTCTCTTTCCTTCCTTCCTTCCTTCCTTCCTTCCTTCCTTCCTTCCTTCCTTCCTTCCTTCTTCCTTCCTTCCTTTCCTCCTTCCTTTCTTTTATCTTTTTTTGTTTTTGTTTTCTGAGACAGGGTTTCTCTGTAGCTTTGGAACCTGTTCTGGATCTTGATCTGCAGACCAGGCTGCCCTTGAACTCACAAAGATCCACCTGCCTTTGCCTCCCGGTGCTGGGATTAAAAGCATGCACCACCGCTGCCAGACCCCAACTACTCTTGAAATACTGGTTTCTCTAGTGTTTGTGGATTGGGAATAAAATGACGGGTTGTTTGTTATGTTGTTGCTGGTCTTTTAGAGAGCAGGAGACCCTCTCATCAAACTCAGGTTTTCTGGGCTAAGCCTGATAGCTACAGATCAGAGCTCTCAAAAATCAGTCTGCTAAGAGCAGGAGGGTTGTGTTGAATAGATGCCTGGAAAAGGAGGGGGTGGGACAGAAACCCACCCTTCTGGCTTGCTTTTTTAATCTTGGCATTTCAGCAAAAGGAGCAACACCTAAGAGATGATTTCCCAAAAGCTGGTTCCCAGCACAGTCTGCCTTCTGTTTCTATTCTGGTTACTCTATCAGGAGTTGTAAGTGCCAGGGAGAGATGAAACACATTACTTTTAGCCTTGAAAGTGGAGGCAAGTGAAAGCCAAGAACAGAGAATAAGACAGCACCGTTCATATTCTTTGGGGAAAGTTCAACACACCAGAGTCTGTGAGCCCACCTCCCAGGTCTTCAAGATGGAAATCACCAAATCCAGAGGCTTTAGAAACAATCTAGCTTCTGCAAGAACCGATCTTAGACTGATAAGGCTGATAAGCTCCGGGATGAAAAGTTCATTGTGAAAACCAAATGGCCTCGTGACTATGGGGTGGGAGTTTCATAAGAACTGGTGCCCTGACTGTCAGGGCCATTACCGAGGTTCGGGGAGTTCTGGATGCCATGATGTAGTCACAGTCACAGTGATAAGGGCCACCTACCTCATGCCAACAGCTGTACATAACTCCATAGATGGACATGGGGGCCAGGTGAGGGCGATACAGGCGGAACCCTTTAGAAATGGCTTCCACCACTTGCAGATTGGACTTATTTTCAAAAGGCATTTTCCCTTCTGTAAAAACTTCCCACATTAGAACTCCTGCACGGAAAACATGCAAAAACAAGAGTCACTTGGAATCAAAACAACGGTTTGATTCAAACTGCAAGATGTTAATCTCCTTCAGCTTCAGAGTCATGATTGCCCAGAGAGAACACACTTCTATGTGGTTGCACACTCCTGAGTTTTTAAGAGGTCTGTACCTTCAAAATAACCCTAGAAAACGATGCCTCAAACAAAGCTCAAACAAAGCTCAAAACCTTGCCTGCTGAGAGACGAGGTCAGTAGACAGCTAACAAGATCAGTGATACAAACACAACCTTATCGTGAAGAATATACTCACACACTTGTGAGGACAAGGACATCTTTCTTAGAGCCACCCAGGAAGTCCTGGATGAAAACCAACAGATTTTTGCTCATCAGTTGCAATAGTTGAAAAGCTGCCCTGAGCCTAGATCTACAGTGTCTCTTTCTTTACGGAGAGTGTTAGTCAATGTGAACATCACATCCCAAGAAGCCAAGGTGCATAGCCCATAAACCCCATAAAGTGAAGGCCATGAACTGTTGTTTCTCTTAGATCTATATGTTAAGAAGTTCAAATTGTCATGTTTGAAAACAGTCAAGCACCGTATAACTAAACAATACAGCGTATGAAATATACTGAAAACCAGCCTCTGTGATATGGAAGTACTGGCTGCATCTGCCTTCTCGGATACTCCTTGCTAGAGCTTCATGGCAAATGCTCACTGAGAGCAGAGTTGTGTGAGGGGCTGCATGAATCCAGTTGCCAAAGAATTTACAAGAAGGCTTTTAGATTTATTTATTTATAGTGTTGTGCCAGCATGCATGCCTGCACACCAGAAGGGGACACCAGATCTCATTATAGATGGCTGTGAGCCACTTGTGGTTACTGGGAATTGAACTCAGGAGCTCTGAAAGAATAGTCAGTGTTCTTAACCTTTGAGGCATCTCTCCGGCCCATAGGAAGGCTTTTCAAGAATGCTACACCATGTCAAACAAGCCCACAAACAAACAAGAGCTGAAAAGAAAGGCTGCCACTGTACTGAATCCAGCAACAACAAATATACTCACCAAATGACCAGACATCAGATTTGCTGCTGTACTTGTTAAAATGGAAGACTTCAGGCGGGGACCACTTGACTGGGAACTTAGCTCCAGAGGAACTGATGTATTCATCATCCAAAACGTACCTGCCATTGTGGGAGTCAAGCACATTGTGTTAATGGCCACCCAGGTCTAATTCCTTCAAATGTGTTTGTCAGCTTTGACCTGCTAAAACACTGCGTTCCCCCCAGAAAAGACTTGGGCACCATGTCGTCTTGATGGTAGGCGACCAAGTTGCCCTTCATTTGGTTTCCTCCTCTAGAACCATGTCTCCTCGATTTCATTTTCATGAGATCTCTGGAAACTACTGTTCTACAGTCCTAAAACTAGGAAAGACTTATGTTTATTAAGGTCCAGATTCTGGAAGCAAATGGATCTTAATATGCCTTGGTAAAAAAGACCTCAGTCATTCCCAGGGAATTTAACAGATAAATCTTCTAGATAGACATTCCACAGTGACAAGTACAGATGGTCAGCCATGACCAAAGGGGAAGGACAGTGGTTGCACAGATGTCAGAGTGCACATTTCAACAGGACCAGCCTGACCATCTCCATGACAGTGGAGTACCTGTGGCCCCATGAGACACACCTAAAACCTGGGCTTTGACTGCTGAAGAATTCAGAAACAAATTCTAAATTCATTCAGGTTAAACTTCTGGGGCCCTACAAAAGGAAGCCTGTAGCTGGGCAGTGGTGGCACACACCTTTAATCCCAGCACTCGGGAGGCAATGGCAGGCGGATCTTTGTGGGTTCAAGAACAGCCTAGTCTACAGAGCTAGTTTCAGGACATCCAGGGCTACACAGAGAAATCCTGTCTTGAAAAAAGAAACCCTGTCTCAAAAAACAACAACAAAAAAATTATTTGTGCAAATACGTGGCTAGGTTTATTTCAGCGATGACTTAAAACCAACGTCCAAACTTGGTCACACGATGTCTGATGGTGACCTCAGAAAATCAGAGCTTATCAAGTACATTTATTTCTTCCTTTCTCTCTCAAAAATACACATTCCGTTTTAAGATCTACCATAGGTGTGTCAACAACAGCCTGGAAGACAAGAACAGGGCACAGTAAAATCCACCTCACGGGGAAACCTGGCATGTGTCCTGAAATCCCAGTCTGAGTTGCGCAACCCACGCGGACACTTAGCCCACACAGACACCTTCCCTACAGGGACACTGTCCTCACAAAGACACTTCTTCGGAGCAGAAAGAAAGAGGCAATAGCAACTTTGGTGTGCAAGGCTGAAGATGGAAGGAAGGCTTGGGGAGCAAGATGGCTTGACAGGAAAGGGGCTTACCATAATGCCTGACTACCTGAGTTTGAATTCGTAGGGTGGAAGGAAAGAACTGATTCCCACAGTGTCCTGACCTCTACACACACACACACACACACACACACACACACACACACCATGGCGTACCTGAGGATGCATGATCACATATGCACGCGTGCACGCGTGCACACACACACATATACACTAAATGTTTTTTTAAAATACAAGACTCCCTCTTACAAGTGGACAAAGCAGACAGAGAAGGCACATACCTCGTCATCCCGAAGTCTGAGATCTTTACCACACAGGAAGAGCTGACCAAACAGTTCCTTGCTGCCTATAGAAAGAAGAGAAACATCGAAGCTGAACCATAGTCTTTCTTTGGCAAATTTCTGTGTTCATTTTTTCTTCCTTTGTTTCGGCTCCACGTCACCTCTCTGCATGAGCAACCAAGGGAATTTCATGGTGACGTCCCTTATTGATGTACATAACTCAAAGCTCAACTTGTATGTCATAGTTTTAATGATTCTTCAATGTCATAAAAAGTTAATATCGAATTCACAATTTTTAAATTTTAATCTTTTCCAACAAGTATCCTGGATAAATATGCAGGTTAGTTTAATCTAATAGATGATAAATTAAGTACTTGGCATAAAATACCTTAACTTTTATTTTTTACTTAAGTTGCAAAAAGTCTGACGTACATGACAGTTCAGAAGACAGTCATATTGTATCTCTGGGCCTCCAGTGGGTAATAAGAATTAAGAAACAATTTGCCAGGTGGTGGTTGCGCACGCCTTTAATCCCAGCACTTGGGAAGCAGAGCAGGTGGGTCTCTTTGAGTTCGAGACCAGCCTGTTCTACAGAGCAAGTTCCATGACAGGCTCCAAAGCTACACAGAGAAACCCTGTCTTGAAAAATCAACCAACCAACCACCAACCAACCAAAGAAAACCCTATATATTAAAAGCTTTCTTTCAGTGAGTTACTATTTCTAGTGATAATTCTCTATTTCTTTTTAAAGTTTATTTTTATTTTAGGTATATGGGTGTTTTGCCTGTGTATATCAAAATGGGGTGTTGGAGCCTCTGGAACTGGACCTACAGAATGGGTGTGATCTGCCACCCCAGGTCCTATGGACGAGCAGCAAGTACCCTTAACACTGAGTCATCTCTCCAGCCCCCTCTGCCTCTTTCTTATCACAGTGAAGTGACTGTAACACAAAGTCAGTCTGGTTGTAATCAAAGCAACTCATTATCAGCAAGGCCATAGAGGAAGTCCTCATTCCCATCAACCTCGCAGAGCTGAACTCTTTGGTAGAATTGCTCTCTTTTCAGTGAAGTTGAGGTTCAGTGTATCCAGTCACAAAGAAAGAAGCTTTTAAAAGGTCATCTAGAGGAGCCAGTTTGGAAGGTGCTAGAAGGTAGCAGCAACTCAAATACAAACCACAAGAAAAGTGCTCAACAGAAAAAGGACCCACTGAGGGCTGATGTAGTTCATTTGCAGTATGGTAGATAAAATAGAACATGACGAAAATTTCCACGAAGGGTGGGGGTAATCTCAGGACAGGACGTGTATGAGGCCGCCCACCTGAAGCAAGCAGGATACCCAGGACTGGGAACCCATGAGTTTTAACTCTCCTCCTCGTCAGGGAAGAACCCTTCAGAGGCCAGGCAAAGAAGCTAAGTGGATTGGAAACTGGAAAGTGTACCCACCATTTACTCAGGGTTGGATCGCTAGCTTCTTTGTGCTGGGTACCAGGGAATGTGCAGTGGGGATCCCCAAACCCCGTGATCAGCTTCCTCGGTGGCAAGCAGTGCCGAGCCCTGGTGGGACAGGCCCTGCTTTGTGACTTGCACACACCGATTTGTGTAGTCCTCCCTCTCCAACCTTGAGCTTCCTGTAGGCTGTGCAGTGTGCTCTGGGGTCCCAACTTTGTGAGCTGGGGTGGGCTTTGGTGATGCAGCTGTCTTTGAGTCGGTTCTGCTCCTGTGAATACCCTCCCCCCACATTCACCCACATTCCTGTGAATACCCTTCCCTCCAAAAATCTCATTGGTTCACCAGGTTGGAATTTGATGGTATCCAAATCCTGGTCTGTCGTGAGTTCTGTGTCTGGAGTGAGTAGACACCTCCCGGTACAACACCTCCCAGGCAAAGTTTTGTCACACAACAATCATATGGAGTGAGCAGGTTATATCTAGGAATATATATGTGTGTACAGATACATGTACACATGCACTAGCAACTAATGAAAAAAGGCGATTATTTGAAGGTGAGCAGGAGTGGCGTATGGAGGGCTTGGAGAGAGCAAAGGGCATGGGGAGATGTAATTATATTATAATCTCAAAAAAGAAAAAGAAATGTAAGTAATTAGCTAGTGTGTGGTGGTGTAAGTAATAAACGCCACGAGTGGTCTGAACTGAAGGCTTAGCTTGCCTTTTCCCACGGTGCTCTGGGATTAGAGAAACTACACCTGCAGCCACGCCCCTGGATCCTCCTGTCTCAAGGAAGAGTGCTGTAATAAAACCAGCCTGGGAACGAGAGTCCAAAGCCCAGGGTTGTTTCTAAGAGACCGCGTCAGAAATTTGTATGGAATTCTCAAATTCTCCTTGGAGTTAAATGTTCTATTTGTAAATGGAACCCAGAAGAACAAGAAGAGAATGGGGTGAGGACCCCGGATGAGGACCCCGAAGCCTGCAGTGGCCTGGGCGTGGTACTCGAGGTGCAGAAGTGAGGACACGGAGCGGGGCAACTGGCGTTTAGTCTGGGGTCAGAGAGCTCTGTTAGGTAGGCGCGTTCCCAGCATTACCCAGCAGAATGCCCGGACATTTCTAGTCTCCGTCAAGCCACACCCAAGCCCCCTGTACCATGGGCAACTGCACCCCTGGAGAAGAGTCCCAGGGACCCTTTCCTCCCAGCTGGACTCCAGGGCCTACACTGTGGAGCGTATATGAAACACTTGGGACAAGTGTGACCACAGGAGTTTGAATTTGATTGGAAGGAAGAAGGGTGAAAGGAAGGCTGAGAAAGAAGGGAATGAGGAAGAGAAAAGAGGAAAAAGCACTGTAGTTAATTGCTCCATTAGGTAGTTAATTAGTGAAAGGCACCTTAGAGTAATTGCCTACTTGCTTACAGCATTAAAGGGCAATTAAAAATAAAATTAAGGGGTTGAAGGATACGACTCAGTGAAAGAGCACATGGCTTAGCCTGTGCAAGGCCTGGGTTCTAATCCCAGCGCTGGAGAATAAATGAGAAAGTTGATTAACCTTTCACAATAAAAGGCATGAATTTAAAATGTTCTAAAATGAAGCCAAAGGCACACTCTTCAAAGTACCAAAAGTGACCCCCATGTCCTTCTCAATCCAGGGCCGTGACATGAGGTGACTTGCCCCGACTCACCAGATCCCTGTGGATATAGCAGCTCCTCTCCAGGTACGCCATCCCTTCACAGATGTCCTGACACACGCTCAAGAGCAAGGCCTTCCGCAGCGTGCCTTTCCTCTCCCGCAGGTAGTTGAGCAGGCAGCCATTTTCCATGAACTCTGTCACTATGTAGAGGGGCTTCTGCTGTATGCACACCCCATAGAGCTGAACCAGCCTCGAGTGTGACAGTTTCCTAGAGAGGAAGAACACACCAGTGAATTGGGTTATCCTTGCATTGTAAAACAGAAATATATCTTTTTCATGTTTGAGGTAAGATAAGCATCAACCCAACCACCAGGAATGCGCAACATTTTCTTTCCACGCATTGCAATGAAAACATAGGCCCAGGAGCTTGTGCGGTGCTTCCAAAATCGTCATTATAGAATATTGCATGCCCCACATCCGGCTTGCAGCAGCTCCCTTTTCTTCTTCCTGTTTGCATCCTCATTATTGATTTTTCCCAGCCCAGGTTCTCAAGAAATCCCAGTCGTCCTGACTATAGCCGTTAGAAAATTCCAGACAGGCAGTGGGGAGGAAAGAATGACTGACAGCCATAAGGCAGAAAATGGAATTCTAAGTAGTAAAGCTATTTAAAAGTAAATGTTTAGATAAAGCCGGAGACTAAAAATGATTGGCCAGCATGAAACCCTATTGTGCATTTGGGTAATCACACAGAATTTAGGTTTTCCATTAAAATATACTCATTAATTTTTTTTTTAGGAAAAAGACTTATTTGGTTTTATTTTATGTGTATTTTGTCTGCACGTATGTCTGTGCACCATATGCATGTAGCACCCACAGAGGCCAGAAGAGGGCCTCAGACCCATGGAACTGGAGTTAACAAACAGTTGTTAAACCACTGTATGGCTCCTGGGGACTCTGCAACAGTACCTGTAACAGCTCAGCTCTCTCCCCAGCCCCATTGCTTACAGTTTTTAAAGGCAATCTAAGCTTCAAACATTTATTGGGTTCCCTACATCCAACCTGTGAAATATATCAGTCAATGTCTAAGTGCTTTTTAGGTCAACTGGGGTCACCGTGAAAAAGAAAATTCAAATTAAAGTTTGCAGTTTTAAAAAAAAATGCATCATGCATCAGCAATTCTGTTGGTCAGAAATATTGTGAAAAGTACCTTAGAAATGATCTTTTCAATTATGGAGAGAGAGAGAGAGAGAATGTGTGTGTGTGTGTGTGTGTGTGTGTGAGAGAGAGAGAGAGAGAGAGAGAGAGAGAGAGAGAGAAAGAGAGAGAGAGGATGATGATAATGATATGACGATATGATGATATTAGACGTACTTTGTCTGATTTATCTTTCAAGTCCATAAAGCTTACTTTCAGTTAAGGAATGTGGTTTTCATGTGTGCAGAATCATGCCAGGAAAGTAAGTCTCAGAATGAAACCCTTCCATGTCATCAGAAACCTGAGACCAGAGCTACACAGAACCATTTGAGAACTGAACCATTAGTGAGCATTTGCTTACGAGGGCAACTGGCAAATAAGACAAATATCTATTAGGGAAAAAAAGCAAAAGCAAAAACAAGTAAATAAACCTTTCTATGTGGTTCAGTTGAACATACAGAACAAAAACGTCTCCTAGGCAGAGAACTATGCGAGCAGAAGTGTGCTCCTACTTCCTGCAATGCCAGTTTCTCCACACACACGCCATCCCCAGTTAGAGAAGCGGCCTGGCTCACTGTAGGACAATTGCAGATGTATTTAAACTTGTTTTTATTTAAAGCATTTTCTAAACGTCTACAGCCTTCTCCTGTCATTGTCTTTTCCTATCTCCTCCTCTTCCCTTGGCAACAGAATCAAGTTGCATGGTTCTCAGTATCATCTTCTGGACCATTCTCAAATTCATCTCCTCCAACTTGACCTTTCTCCTGAACTCTGGCCTCATGCATTTCCATGACTACTTAGTCATCACTGATCCTCTAATAGGCTTCTCAAACTCAGCACCACACACACACACACACACACACACACACACACACACACACACACACACCTGGAGCTCCCTGCATGACTTTCAGTTAGCTTCACTGGAGGAAGTTCTCTTCTCAGCATTTGCTTACTATTTTTGTAGCCTTATGTGTAGGGGGTGCTTGTGACTGTTATAAATTCCTCGTCTCCTGAATCGTGTAAGTTTTATCAGCTCCTGAGTCTCCTGAGCAGGGGGGAGCATTTTAGTTCCAAGGAAACAGCTTCACTAAAGTCTAAATCTGTGGGCTCCTAGCCAGGGTCAGCTCTTTAAAGAAGCCCCCTCATCTCACGTTCAGAGAAGATTCTGACATGGTTTTTAACCCGGAGTTACATGAGTCCCGTTTATTCTTCCCTACTGTGTCACTTTAATCCACACCCACGCTGCTACCCTTTGGTCCTCCGGAGGCAGAGCTGGCTGATCTGAGAACTTGAGTCAGCAAGCCGGTGATCCAGGTAACAGCAGCCACAAATCATGGGGAAGCGGATGTCCTGGAATAAGTGTGTTTATCACAATTCCATCCAGAGCTCTTCTTTTGTAAATGGATAGAAAGGATATTTGGTAGGATAGGTGAGACATGAGCTTGAAAACTCTCAGAGGCCCAATTGCTCTGTCCTCCCTGGAGAAGGCCCTAGCTGATCTCTTCCCGTTTCTATCCAATCTCTGATCATTTTGTTTACCTTTGGGGCCCACAAGTTTGGGACAGAACTGCACTGCTCTGGACAACAACACAGTTGAAATGAGAACACTTGGGTTTGCTTGTTTGTGTGTTTGTTTTTCCCTCTGGTACATTGATGTTCTTCTAAATAAACATTGAACAAATGTTTAGAGAACATTGGCTTGAACTCTCCTGGTCCAAGCTCAGATTATAGTAACAAACTACAATCAATATATTTGCTTGGGTGGGGGCAAAACCAACACCACTAACTAGCACTTATTCAGCACCAACCACCAAGCTGAAAATAATACACATTACTTGTCTTTCCCTCTGGTCATTTCATTAGTCACACTGCCAGCCAGTGCCATGAGTGCTGTGAGTCCCAATTTTATAGGCCAGGACTTTGGGGACTGGAAAGTGACATAGTTCATGCGTGTCACACAGAGGTTAAATTATTTGCCTGGGTTACCCAACCAGCTCGGGCAGAGTTGTGACACTGTTGTAGGTGTGTCTGAAGTGAATTCCAGGTTCTGTCCAAGTCCCCGGGGCGTTGGGCTGTGTTATGTGAAGTGGGAAAATCCCCCCTCCCCAGATTGGGCCATGTTTATGGCGTGTGGTATGTGGGTGAGGTTCACATGTTAATGGCGTATATATTGGGTGGGGTTCATGTTTATGGCGTGTGTATGTGGGCGGGGCTCACATGTTTATGGCGTGTGCGTTGGGTGGGGTTCACGTTTATGGCGTGTGTATGTGGGTGAGGTTCACATGTTTATGGCGTTTGTATGTGGGTGGGGTTTATGGCATGTGTATTGGGTTCATGTTTATGGCGTTGTTGGGGGTTCACATGTTAATGGCATGTGAATGTGGGCGGGGCTCACACTCACATCATCACTTTGGCTTCTTCGATGAAATCCTCTTCGGACATGGAACCTTCATTGATGGCCTTGATGGCGACCCGGATGTGGGCTCTCCATTCTCCTAGGTGGACTACCCCAAACTGACCACTTCCAATCTCCTTGACAAAGGTCAACTCAGACGGGTCTATCTCCCACTTTTCTAGAAAGGCAGACGACTCGTGTTACTAAAGAGGAGAGAACGCTGAACTTTTTCTGCAGAGAAGACATTTAGGAATTATCTGCTCATTGCCCTTTGTTTTACATACAATTTAAAGACATACAGGAGAGGATCTGTGGCTATTTTTAATGCTCTCATAGTGGCCTTAATGTGTAATTCAAGACAACCAATGTTAAGAAAGTCACCTGCTTGGAGACACAAATATATAACAAATTGTGACTATCAAAATATTATATTAAACATAACTGTGCTTTTCTAAACAAAACCAAATCTGGACTTAAAACATAGATGTTTCTATGTTTTGGGAGGCCCAAAAATATGAGCCTATTTCCACCTTGACCAAAGGTCAGAGGGTTGGAACTTTCCTCTGGTTCCTTCAAGGTTATCTTGTTTCTACCTCAAACAAAGGTCCTATTTAGATAGATTCAGATTAGAAAGTTCTGCTCTCTCAAGGTTATTGTCAACAGGTGTGGCTAATAGCCAGACCTTGTGTCTCAGGAATAGAGAAGTAGAAATGCTTCTACTCCAAACAAAAGTCTAAGGATCCAACTAAGTTCCTTTTCCCTTAAGGAGATAACAATGGATTCCACCCAGGCAGTGGTTTGCCTCCAGAATGTTTTGGTCTAGGGTGTGAACTGATAACTGATATTTTTGTCGAGGCTGGTCCCCAACACATCACCCAGCCTGGTGTTGTTATGATGTTAAATGTATAAATCTCAGGAAGCTGTGGTACTTCCTCTTCCTGTTTCAGTTCTGTGCTCTGCTCTCACTGCTACAGACCCTTACTGTCTCCTATGTCCTCTCCTTAGGTAAGGGTCTGGTCATCTACTACGCATGCCCATCGCAAGAATGCTAACAACATATATCTAAACATGGATTTGAGGTGAGATTCATGTTGCTGTATAGGTCTCATTTCTCATAAGCAAATCAGGAAGAAAAACAAAAGAACTGTTTTCAAAACTAATACCCTTGAAACTGTCAAAGCTGTACATTGTAGCACCTACTTTTTATACAACAATACCACCATCTGCTGGAACTTCAGGGTAATGCGCCCAGCAGAATTTAGGTGGGAACTAGTCACCAACCCAGGAGTGAAACGCTGTTGTAAAAGTAACGTGATAGAACAAATCTTGGCCTTGACAGTGGTAAAGAGTTACTGATAAAATATGAACACAGAGGGAATATTAATAAATTAAAACTCATAATTTTGCCTGTTCATCTGGAGAGATGGCTCAGTGGGTAAGAGCACTTGCTGCTCTTGTAGAGTTCAATTTCCAACACCCACATGATGGCTCCAGTTCTCCCTCTTCTGGCCTCTGAGGCAACAACCATGCATGAAGTGCACTTATATACATGTAGACAAAACACTCAGACATGTAAAATAAAGATAAATCTTTAAAAGAAGGGAAGTGTTAAGAACAAATCAATCCCTGGGCCATGGTGGCACACAATTCCAGCACTCTGGAGGCAGAGGCAGGCGGATCTCTGTGAGTTTGCGGCCAGCCTGGTCTACAGAGCAAGTTCTAGGACAGCCAAGACTACACAGAGAAATCCTGTCTCAAAAAAACAAATAAAAAAAGAAAGAAAAAGAATAAGCCAATCAGAAAAATTATAAAATCCAATTTAAGGGTAAAGATGATAAATACTTGATCATTAAAGAGACTATCCAAAAGGCCACTACATCTGTTAAAGGTGACCAAAATAATTAGTCATGAGGGACCAAAACCAAACCATCCTATGCCTGCTACATTGGTGAAAGTGTTAAAAAGAAATACTAAGTATTGGCAAGGATGAAAGAGTGGAGCTGGCATTCGTATACATTGTTGACAGTTGTGGAATTTGGAATAAACTCTTTGGGAAACTGATTTTGCCTAGTAGATCGCAAATTGTGCATAGCCTGTGGCCCAACAGAACTACTCTAAAGTATATATAGAGTGGAGGATAAATGGACATTTATCATCTAAACACAAGCAAGAACTTTCAGAGCAATAATATTTGTAAGAACCCTGATGGCTGTGTAAAAAGGGTGGTAGCACAATGTCACAGTGAGAATGAGTCAGCCTCAACCGACATCGTAGATAAAATTCAAAGATAGCGAGAAGAGGAAGAGGTCAGACGCAAGAGTGTGTAGTTTCTCATTCTAGTAAATGAAGCATTTAAAACTTGGTAAATTATATATATATATATATATATACACATATATATATGTATATCATGTGATAGGTGTGGTTTATGCATCATTCTGTTAAAAAAGTTGAACTTTTCCTAAGAAATTAGAGAGCAAAGTCAACCGAATTTCTACTTATATAAGTTCTGACATATAGGAACGACAAAGGCACTCATAACCCCCTGAAGGCACCCTTCCAACTTGCTTAGACTCAGACCCTGAAGCATAGTCATTTTACACAATGTAATTCTCATTTTGCTTTTTTCCTCAGTATAATCTGAGTTCTACTAATGAGAGAAATTCAAAGAGAACAAACATTCCAACAAGTCAGCTAACAAGGTTCCCTGGTTCGCACTTATTCTCACAGAATTCTATTCACACTTGCTATAAAGTGATTGGAATCTGAGGGTACCAGTTCAATTTGCGCAAAGATGATGTGGAGACGCCCAACAGCTCTTTTTTGATAGATTCTCCTGGAAAGCAGTCATTTCCTACCCACCCTTGTAACCAGAAAACAACAGCCTCAACATCTGGAGAAGAGAAGTTATTCATCAAAATGGGAAAGATGACAGCTCTTCATAAGGTGTAGTGAAATGTGAAGTCAAACCAGAACATTGCTACCGAGTTCAAATTCAGATTGCCCCAGGAGATGGATTATTTAAACACCTCCAGCGAGACATTTGAATTTTTTTTTTTTAAAAAAAAAACCACATGTAGGTAGACTTTTCAAATGAACTGAGAATTTAAAGAATCTCTGGGGCGGTTCCTGGATGGATGGATGGATGGATGGATGGATGGATGGATGGATGGACAGACGGATGGATGGATGGACGGACAGATGGATGGACAGACAGATGGATGTCTTCCCTCAGCACGCGTGTGTACTTTACCATAGCTAAAACCAGCTGTGGCTGGTAAACAGCTGCCCAGGAGCCCAACTGGATAGCGGAGACGGGACATGAGACCTAAGGAGAAAGAAAAATGGGCATATCAAGACTCGTTACTAGCTACAGAGGAAGACCTAAGCACTAGAAGACAGCACTTGTCTTTAGACGATGAGGCAGAACAATACTGCAGTCATTATAGTTTTCTATTTTCCATTTGAGAACTTTCCACTCATAATATATACTCACCGTACACAATCTGATGATTCTAAGTTAGCAAAAAAAAAAGAAAAAACTCTCTCACAAAATCTCAGTGTGTACAGGTGAATTATTAGCACTTTGGGGGGATAACTTGGCAGAGCTCTTTATTTGAATAATTAGAAACATGTATGTATCAAGTACATTATACAAAATGTCAAGGTTTTATTATAAACTTTCATACTAAACATGTAGTTCATACATACTGACGACTATAAGAAGACCCTAAAATATTTCTGTGGTCTCAGTATTATAAAATAGGTCATGTTTTCTTGAACATGAATTTGTATGTATTCTCTCAAATTATTCTCTTATAAAATGAAATATTTGGTCAAATTGTTTCCAAAAGTGCCAGAAAAATCCACTTAACCATCAACTTGAACACTCTTTGGAAAAAGGTTTTTGTGAGATTTTTTTTTTTGTCATTGTTCTACTTTGTCTTTGTTTTGTTTCGTTTGTTTGAAGGTAGCAGAGTAGAATGAGTAAGACTTCATTTGACTGGATTAACAAGAAAATTCTAGGCAATCAATTTCAATTTATCAATAAACTTTCATTATTTGTTTCTTCAGTCGCTACCCATTGAAAGTCTGTTTGTATAATGTTCTATCTTGACGTTAGAAGACAGTGTTAAATGAGATGCTCTTGGCCTCTGCTCTCCCAGATCCCACTTTCTAGATCCGTTATTTCTAGGGAAATAACGTGTGTCTACTCCCAAGAAAAAGTAGGTGGTAAACACAAGACGGAGTGGATAAAATGCAGTGGTCTGAGAATGGGTGGTGGAGGAGGGCCTTTCAGACAAGATGGCAGGAATGATGACCCTGGCTGACACGGAGTCATTCACGAAGATCAGTAGGAAGCCCAGGCAGATAGACAGCATGTGCAAAAGCTGGGACGCAAAGGCAGGCTCAGCTAGTAGAAAACCAGAAGATATAAAAGCCTAAAATATACTGGATTCTCTTACAGGTAAATTCCCCAAGACCTCAACCAATCCAGAGACAATTGAGATGACTCCTCCTCCTACAGAGAGCCTTCCTTTAGTGGGGAACCATAAGAAAAGACAGACCACTCTAGTGTAAATGATGAAGGCACACACCGACTAACTGGGACACAGAGAACACCCAGCACATGGGACTGCATGGAGGTTGGTACCTGAACAAAGAGTAGGAGGTAGGAGGAGGCAAAAAGTTATATTCGAGAGGAACGTATCATCCTGGTTGTGATGGGCCGTGTAAGCCATGTCAGAGAGCAGTGCATTCTACAGCAGAGGGAGGGAGGAAGAGAAAGAGCAAAAGAGATTGGTGGGGGCAGTGGGGGGCATGCCAGTCTCAAACAAGGAAGTGAAATCTCCAGATTTCCATTTTTGTTAGATCCCTGGTGGTAACATCGAGGTAGATGGAAGGGAAACAAACTTTGGAGACAAAGCATTAAGAAACTTCTGGAAATTGTCCACGGGGCTAATGATTAGTCAGGGCATCTCTGATACTAGGGAGAGACAGGGATCTAAATGGACATGTTTAGGATATGAAATTGATTGCCTGTGGGGCTTAGGCAGGAGTATTCATATGGTGAACAGTTTATCCTTCCTAACTCTAACCTTGGCACATGCCTGGTCTTTCATTATTGTGTGACCTCACCACATAATACTCTCTCTTCAATGTTTCTCTAGAGGAAGGAGGAAGAAGAAGGACTGTTGAAAAAAGCAAACTCAGAACTGGTCTGGGGGTAGGGGTGGGGAGTGGCTTGGATCTCCAGTCTGATCCTTGGCCTCACCCCTGTACCTCTCTCCACCCAAGCTGCTACTGACCCTTGGAAATTCCCGTGGATTCATACCGTAAGTGGAGTGGAGGCTCATGTCCTGGGATCTGCTCTTGATGCTCAAAGCCAGCAAAACCGGTGCCAAGGAAAGTATTCGCTTTCCAAAAGAATTCTTTTGTTTGCTTTTTGTTTCTGTTTTGCTTTTGTTCAACACAACTTTTCATGATTGAAATATTCAAAAGAAACTCTTGAGAAAGGGTAGGAGAGGTTAGAGTGGATCGAATCCAATCTCTGTAATGCTGAGGTAAAGGTCTTTGCCTCTGGCTCCAAAATGCCCTGGCACAGGCTGGCTGAGGGCTGAAGACCAGAGATGTGTCTGTAATTGTGGGAGAACTTTCTGAGATCCCTTATCTTTCCAGAAATGATAGGTCTGTATAAGGAGAAATTGACAAACAGTAGCTGAGGAGAGGGCTCAATATTCCGGTTCATTTAGGTCAAAGTGTGACTGTGAAAGCCAGGGATCTGTGTAACTTTGTATTTTCTCAAAACAAGAAAGAATAGAGGATGAGAGGCTTAAAGATAATTTTCTGTTGTCATTATCTAAATAAGAGAGCAGATTTGTGGGAGCAAAGGAAAGGAGCCTCAACATTTAGGGATCTGAAGCTGTATTAAACTTAACCCTATTTAACCTCTCTGGGTATATGCATAACTAAATCCCCTTGGCTCCTCTGTCATCCACTATCTTCCTAATCTGGTAGAAATAAAAAAACTGCAACTCAAGTCTTGCTCCTTGGCTAGGAAAAGAAAAAGACATGTTGATGAAAGCAACATTGCCCAAGAAAGATTGTGTTTCGGCCCCTAGACAGGATGTCTAGGGCATTTTGCTGCTGTTGAGCATCTGAGACCATGCATGTCTTCCCTGACAAGGGACTGGCTCCCAGCCCTTCTCCCCAGACCTGACTCCTCACTGCTGTGGAATAATCCTTTTGTACACTGTGAAGATGCTTTACTCTCATCGGTTTAATAAAGAGTAAACCGGCCTGTAGCTAGGCAGAAAGAGGTTAGGTGGGAGAGCCAGACAGAGAACGCTGGCAAGGAGGGTGGAGTCGCCAGCCAGATGCAGAGGAAGCAGGAGATGAACGTGCCATGTTGAAAAAAGGGACCACCACATGGTAGGGCATAGATAAGAAATATGGGTTAATTTAAGTTGAAAATGCTGGTTAGTAATAAGCCTAAGCTATCGATCAGGCATTTATAATTAACAACAAGTTTCTGTGTGATTATTTGGGGAGCCGGAGGTCCTGATGATAAACCCCGCCTACACCCCACTTACCAGCGGCATTGTACTGGTGATACTGGATCAGCTCTGGGACTGATGAAAAGAGGTGTCTCTCGGCGACATACCATTGTCCCGAGTCATTCTTTTTAATCTGATAATGTTTTATTGAAGACTCTGTGTGTCTGTAATCAGTAAAATGTCAGAGACACAAAAGACTGCTTTAGAATCAAGTCAGTGTGTTAGGCGGTGCGACCCCACTATTCAAGCTTTCTTCCTGACAATACTCCACACCGACGAGAGAACAGATGGGCTCAACAAATACCTGGTCATCCCAGGAAAACCCCTCAAATATCGTACGGGTACCTCATATTCAACATAGCGTTAGGAGACAAGCCCCCATGCCCAGTGAGGCGAAGCTCATCATGAAGCACACTTATCTCTTGAATGCTGAGTTTGACTAAACCATGAGAAATTCCATCGTGAGGGATGGGAAAGGTGAGCTGAGATGGGAAAAGTGGATCGAGGGGACACTGCTGAGCAGGTGACTGCTTCAGGCAGCTATGGCGTCATTATTAAACTGCAGACACCCCGCCGAGGTAGTCACTCCTCAGGGAGGGCTGCTCCCGAGGAGCTGCCTCTCAGGCTTCTCTACCTCACCACAAGTTCCCGTAGGCACAGAACAGCCTAGGCATAAAGGCACAGGAAGCTTGAGGAGCCCCTGAGCCCTCTATGCAGACCAACCCTAGAGGAGACCGAGGAGGGGTCTAAGGAACATGCCACTAGTGTCTCACAACTAATCTAACTTGATCAGGAGGGTTGGTTGGGAAAAGAAAGAGAAAGAAGCTATGTCATAGACTCGTCATGCTACATACTTCAGTTCCTGTAGACATAGACGACAGAGATACAACGTCAACTGGGTAGCTGTCCCAGTTTCTAGGCCAGAAGTCTCCTCCCTAAGCGGAGTCCTTCCGCAAAGTCCCTATGTGACGGCATCTGCGTAAAGCAAAATTGTCCCAAAGATTATCTCTAAAGTCATCACAACCACAAACACTTACCTTCCAGCTTTTGTAAACACAGAAATTGTATAAGACCCCAAATGTCTTGAATCCCTCACAATAAATGCACCTTCTTTAGCCTGCAAAAATAAAATTTATCCATTATTCAAGTGTACTCTTTCTTAGAAAAACAAACTGAGATATCACTGATAAAACATGAACCTAAATAGATTTACGATAAGCAACTTATATTTAAAAAAACAAGTGACTTCTATATTCTTACAATTGAAGAAGGAGATTACTTTTCAAGTGCACACTATTGTATCTCAAAGGTTTAGGAATCGTATTGCAAGAGAAAGTAACTTAGATAAGAAATTTACAATGTGTGAATATTTTAAAACATTATCCTTGATTTTTCCAGGACAGGTTCCAGGTCTTGAGAATCTTGTACCCAGCATCTAGTGGTTTTTGTTGTGCTGAGGAGGAAAACAGATAAAAATCGCTGATCCATGTAAAAGCAAACTTTGAGTCGGGCTGACAAGGCTGCGTGCTAGAAGAAGGGGAACGAAAGACGCAGGGAGAACCTGTTTCCGGAAAGGCAGAGGGTAGGCCAAGGGATCAGAGTTCGTGAGAAAGAATACCGTGGGGGATCCTGTTGGGAGCTGCAGACTGTGTGGGGTGCGTAAGATGAAGAGGAACAGCAGCGGGGGGCAGGGTAAGACTTTTCAAGGCTCAGTTAAGAGCGAGGACCCTGTGGACATTCATCGAAGAAACGCCACGAAAGCTGTAAACTGCTTTCCGATCATTTTGACAGTTAGACTGCTTTGTTTGTTATTACACAGCTTTTCTGCCTCGGCGGGCATGCATATGTTCCTGAAGGCCAAAGAGCCACAGGGTCTCTCTCGTAAAACCACCCACAGACTGGGGGTTCTCCACCTTCTAATGCTCCATTCTTTAAAACAACTCCTTCCTCGTGCTGTGCTTCCCCAACCATAAAATTATTTTGTTGCTACTTCATAATAGCTATTTTGCTTCTGTTACAAATTTTAATGTAAATACTTGATATGCAGGATGTCTGCTATGTGACCCCACCCAAAGGGGTCCCACAAGCTGGGTTTAAATGAGGAACCCTACCTTAATATAGAATATAGAGGGCAACCAAGGACGATTCCAGATGTCAACCTCTGGCCTACATGCACAGTTCTTGTTAGGGATGTGGTCCCTGGTAGGTTTACCATACTCCAGCGGATGGCTTTACCCTGTGCATGTATGGGCAATTATTCTTAGCAGGTTATTTTTAAAAAGGATATGAGGTCGGAAGGGAAATGTGAGGAGAGATCTGGAAGGAGTTGGAAGAAGGGGGAGGTGAATATGATCAAAATGTATTGTATCCTTGGATAAAATTCTTAATAAATAGAAGTGTAAATTAGCATCTTACTTTTCTGTTCCCACGACAAAACAGCACGACCAAGGCAACTTCTAAAAGAAACCATTTAATTCGGAACACATAGTTCCAGAGGGCTAGAGTCCATGACCATCCTGACGCTGAACAGGGCATGGTGCTGGAGCAATAGCTGAGAGCTTACATCTCAACCACAAGCACAAGGCAGAAAGAGAAAGAGCTAACTAACGGTGGGCTTTTGAATCTTTAAACCACATCCCACCCCAATGACAAACCTCCTCATCGTTCCTAACAAATTCCACCAGCTGGGACCAAGCATTCAAATATATGAACCTTCTCATTCAAACCACCACAACCAGGCAAATTGTTCTGAATCAAGTCTTGAAAATACCTAGCAATATTAAGTCTGAGAATTCAGTGTGTACATGTGTATGCAAGATTCTTACAAGGAAGCTTATCACCCAGTGTGCTGAACAGTAAGAAGCTGGAAACAACTGGAATGTTTATAAACATTGAATGGATTTTATACATGCATACAATGAAATATTAAATAATATGGTGATTCTAAATGTATACATATGAATAATTTTTTAAATCATAAGAATCCAAAGTCTTGGATGGTGGCTCATACCTATTATCCCAGTACCTGGGAGGTTGAGGCAAGAGGATTGCCTCAAGTTTGAGTCCAACCTGGGCTACACGTTGAAGCTTTGTCTCAAAAATCAGCAAGTATCAATGTATATGATCATCTTCATGTCAAGTGGTAAAATTATTTATGCACACACATAGATGATAAACATAAAAATAGAGGGAAAAATGAGAATGCATCCATCCTTGTGACTGCCTTTAGTGAATGTAGGGGAAATGATGGGGTGGACTCCTGCTGTGCAATTTTAGACCCTTCAGAAATGTCAGGCAGCGAGCACAGTGGCAATGCCTGTAATCTGAACTTGGGAGTTAGAGGAAGGAATATCACAAACTAAATATTAGTCTCAGTTATGAGGTGAGTTTGAAGTTAGCCTGGGCTATGTGAGGCACTATCTCAAACAAAGGAAAACAGAAAACTGAAGGAAAAAAAACCCTCAGGGTCAAGTTTTTAGCATGACATCAGTGTGGCAGGCATGTGGGCTCTTCCATAACTCTTTGGTCTTGTCTTCAGCAAGATGAGACCCTCCAATTACAGGATCTCTTGCGCCAGACGTACACACTCCTGGTATTCGTATCATGTGGCCTATATCATCTTGTTTATTGCAAAACTGCTCCCAGCTTTCCCTCCTTTAATTTTCCAGGGTGGAGCTACTGATTTTCCGAGCTTTCTTCAGCAAGCAGACCTGTCGCCTGAGGTCAGGTCTTGGTCCCCCATCTTCCACGTGGCCCCCTAGTTTAGAGTGGGTCTTTGCTGGGTCACTGCTGACATGGATTTTCTTTTATGTACCAAACTGACTCTTGTTCATATTTCTAGAGTCTCAATCTCTGAGGCCGGCACAGAATGACAAACTTCCTCTCCAGGTCTGGGTTTGACACTTCATTTCCCCACACCCTGCGCTGACGTTGGAAACTTAGACTCTCCGCTGTTTTGACTTGATTTGACCTAAATGAGCAGTTTTGATCTGAATTTAATATTTTAACCACACACTCTCCTCTTTGTTCCTAAAGACTAAAGAAACCAGCCCTGCAGAGCTCTCTCTATTTGTGTTTTTCATGAGTGTAAGCAGAGGTCACAAGGTGAGAGGCTCTGTTGTGCAGAGGTCATATGGCGGTGGCAGTGTTCTCAATCTGTGGGTATGACCCCTGTGGGTCTAATAACCCTTGCACAGGGGTTGCCTAGGACCATCGGAAGACACAGATATTTACATTACAATTCATAACAGCACCACAATTACAGTGATGAAATAGCAACGAAAATAATTGTACGGTTGGGGGTCACCACAACATAAGGAACTGCATTAAAGGGTCGTAGCATTAGGAAGGCTGAGAACCACTGTCAGATGGGTACCTCAGATACAGACTCCACGTAGAGAATGCATGTTGAATGAAAGAGTCTGAAGTCAAGATTATTTCAAGAGAAACACGTTTCTGAAATCACAGTGGCAGTCCGTGAACAGGCGATCTTATGTTAATATGCCTGACTTTTGACTTAGAAACATGTGCAGCGGGAGTGAGTTTGCAATGGTATTTTAAGATCAGAAAGAATAGGAATACACCTTTTTGAAGGACTACAGTCTTCGCCATAGACTTCTCAGCATTCCAAGAAATATTCACGGGCTATTTCTGGACACATTGAATTACCTCTTGCCTCAGCAGGCGTTCCGTCTGGTTTCTTGTAATGTTCTTATGATACCATCTGGAAAATTAACAAAGAACACATTTTAACTTTATGGGAATTTTTCTTCAGGGAAAAATACTCTAATTCCTTCACCTTAAAGTCTTCATTTAGAATTTAGTTTAGAAAGCTCTGGCTTAAATTCAGATAAATAGCAATGTTCTATTATGTTGCCAATTTACCAGGGTCAATACATTATTTTTCTCATTTCAAGCCATTCTATAGTTCATTCTAACACAGCTCACATCACCCTTCTGGCACACAAAGTACTTATTATAACTTTGCATGATTTAACATCGTATAAAATTCCATGAAAAATATGAAGTTAAGAAGTTATCTTCAGGGACTGGAGAGATGGCTCAGCGGTTAAGAGCACTAGCTGCTCTTCCATAGAACCCAGATTCAATTCCCAGCACCCACATGACAGCTCACAACTGTTTATAACTCCAGCTCCAGGGGATCTGACACCCCCACACCAATGCAATAAGATAAAATAAATAAATTATTTTTTAAAAAGAAGTTATCTTTAACACGTGCTTAGTTCTGTGAACAAACTAAAATACAGCCATTTCCATATCTTTATTTCCCCTCAGAAAGTTCTAGTCTGCATGTTTTTAGAGATGTTAGGTCCCTTTCCAAAGAGAAACCCGTCCTGACTTACCTAATTCTCCTTAATACATCCCCGCTCTGCCAATATAGTTAGTACTTGACAGAGTTTATAGACAGGGACAGCCCACCCACAATCCTGACCCAACTGCCTCTCTTGTCTTCTCCCTCAGCACAGTCTCCCCTGATTCACTAAGCCACACTGGGATTCTTTCTTTTCTGATAGATAAGCACCCTTCCACCTTCAATCCCTGTTTTCTCCGCATCCAACATGTCATTAGGTGACCAGACATCAGAACGACACACAGTACACACAATCAAATAACACTATGTGGAAAGCGTGTTGTTTGATATGACCAGGCTGAAGCCGTAGTGTACAGAAAAGAGGAAAACTGTCAAACAAGGAAGACAGAAAGGTCGAGAAATTTGCAACTTCAAAACAACATATTAACAAAGAGCTTTAAACGTATCTGAATATTACTGGAAATACTGCTTTGTGGAGAGAAAAAGTCAACATTACACATGAACTGAGTCACCATGGATGGGCCAGAGGTGGCTAACTGAAAAGCCTGAAAGGATGGAGTCTCTCAGTACGTGGACTTCCCCTACCACCTGGTGGTGAGAAACTGCCTCAAAATCTGGATGGTCGGCTACCTAAACCTAATTTAATTAACCATGACTGACTATACCCAGTTTGTTAATACAAATCAGATGTATCAGGAAATCTAATTGACTGGCCTTATAAATAGGACTAAATATTAAGGTATATTTAGTAAGTGGAATTTGAATTACAGTGATCCTTCTTATTTGTTTAAATTTATGAATAATTTATTAAGACCAGCCTGTTGAATTTGAAAGATTACTGAAAACTGTGATAGTACAAGAGATTATTGATAATTTAGGTGTGTGCTGAGAACCAAAGCAGCCATCAATCTTTCTACACACCAATGTCCCCTGAAATAACAGAGGTCCCCCATCACCTTTCAAACTGCCTCCTACCACCCTGAGGGCTCTTGTCACGTTCTGATAGACGTCTTCCCTATCCCAACTCTTCTGCCTCCATCCATCACTTGCCCTGTTTTCTCCTGTGATTCCTATATTACTCTTTAGAATAACAATTTAGTACTATAATTTAGAATTATATATTTGTTTTTATATCTAGAATTGTTTAATGTCCCTTTTCTTCACTACTTGTAAGCTCCATTAAGGCAAGGAGGGTTCCGTGTATTCTAAATAGTAGCCCCAGGGCCTAAAGGTGGCTGATATCAGATACATTTTGGGTATACATTAATGGGATTGAACGCATAATGAGATCCAGGTGCTGAAGTAACAAAGGCATGCTGATTATCTGTAAAATTAGAGCGGGTGGGCCAAACTCCAAAGGACTTCCCCATTATCGTCATATGTTTACTATGTTCCACGTGAGGTTGTGTCCCCACTTTTTGGAGCATTCAGAGGCAGTCCTTTTGTTATAGTCATCATAAAAGTGGATGGCGTGTACTAAGTGACCGATATATTCTAGTGATTAGTGATGGTAACTATTACATTCCTATTTTAATGCAACTGTTTAAAAAGAAATAGTGAGTAGTCCTAAGATTTGAATCACTAAAAAGCTTGATTTTAAAATTTATGTAAATCAGAGTCCAAAGAAATTAAGTGGGAATTCTGTTTTGTTGGGTTTTCTCTTTTGCAGGGAGCATTGAGGCAGGGATTTTCTGTGTAGCCCTAGATGTCCTGGAGGCTGGCCTCAAACTCACAGAGGTCCACCTGCCTCTGCCTCCTGAGTGCTGGAATTAAAGGTGTGAGCCTAACACCAGAGCTGACCGATTTAGAGGATCCGATCTCTACAATACAAACAGCCTTAAACCAGAGTCTTGGCTTAGTCTAAACAAAGGAAGCAATGAGCAAAAGAGCTATGACTGAAAGAAACGAAACTACCGTAGTTGAGAGTCTGTTCAGTAACCACCAGACTCTTGTCATACATGTCTGCTTTGATCTTCTGGAAAATCCGAACTTGAACAAAGATACAAAAAAAGTCCTACTTTTTCTAATTATTCTGGGTTGATTTTCATACACAGTCTCCTCTAAGCTAGGCTTCTTTTGCTGGTCGGCTTCAGCACAGGGGAGCAGCGAGACCCTATGGGGCAGGCTTGAGTGAGTGATCATAAGCAGATATGAAACGGTTTTCTAAGGGAGATGATGGCTTAATCCCCTGAATGGGGTGGAGAGTGGAGAGTGGAATCTCAGGCCAAAGGGCCAGGTCAACAGAAAGAACATTCGAGGCAGAAAAGACTGAAGGCACTTTGTGATGGAGCTGAAGAGCACGGTGGGGAGGAGGAGACAGCCAGCAGAGCTGTCTGGGAAAGCCATGTTACATGTGCCACGTGCTCTATGGTCGTCTTCATCTATACTTGCAATTTCAAAAATGGAGTCATTTTAGAGAAAGGTGTATTTAACCTTGCCTAAAGTAGCAGCGAGGCCAAGGAAGCTTGCTCCATTGTATTTGCTGTCTGGTCTCATAGTGCCACCTGTTGGAAGCATATGCTAATTGCAAGATAAGTACCAAGGGAGAAGGGGGCATGAATTCAAGCTGTCCAGCTTTGTGATGGACCTATAACTTAATCTGTTGGCCTTACTTTTTCACCTGAAGAGCAAGGATCTTCGAAGCCACTGCCTAGACCTTCCTATTCCAAAGCTATATCGTCTATCAAAAAGAGAGGAAGCCTTTTAAAGCATTTGGATAAGCAGGCTTAAAGTTCTTGCGAACGATATAATCAGCCTCCCTCTTGCCCTCAGGTACTTCTAAAAAGATCAAAACCAGAGCCAGCATCTGAAACTGGCCTGTGCCGACTGTCGGGTTGCAATCTGCCATTTTGAAAAGCAAGCGTTCCGTGTAGGACATACAGTACATCACGTGTATCAGTGTCTCTAAAGCGTGGCCGTGCCAAACAAAATAAACACAAGCCTAAGGAGGAGTCTCAGAAGCAGCCGGGGTAAGAATCAGAGGTCTCCCTGTTGCTAAGGTTACGGAATGTGTTAGTTTCCTTTTCTTTTACAAACCTGAGAACTGTCTATACTTCAAAGTTCCCAGCAAGTCCCTGATTGTCACAGGTTAATCACAGCGCAGGCTTGGGAGGGGGCACTTACTCATATATTTCTAAATTGGTGACTCTGTTTTCTGTCACGTAGTTGCTTGGGATTAAGCCTTCATTCCTACAACACAAAACAATACAAAACTCAAGATGGGAGGTTTGTAACATTACCATGACATGTCTATAATTACTTAAACCCCAAAGATGTAGGGGGAAATCAAAAGCATTTTACTCATTAAGTTGTTAAAAGAATAAAATATAAAAATATTTTTCATTTCCAACTCCACAAAAATCTCTATATAATATATACTAAGATCCTAACTTATAAATTAGCTATTTCAAGAGATTTTATGACCCTATTTCCTTTTCTTCTCTTCCCTTCCTTCCTTTCTTCCTTCCTTCCTTCCTTCCTTCCTTCCTTCCTTCCTTCCTTCCTTCCTTCCTTCCTCTTTTGAAATAATCTCTCCATGTAGCTCAGACTAACCTTAAATCCCAGGTCCTCCTGAGTCACCTCAAAAGTTGCAGGGTTGCAGGCTGGTGCCATCAAGCCCAGCTCGGTTATGTATTTTCAAAGGAAAGTGGATGCAGCTCTGAGTTTCAACTTAACGTGCATTGTTCAGCAGAAAGAGCATGGGTAAACTGAGGGCTGTGCCATTGGCCTCACTGTAGACGGACTACTGAAAGGCCTCGGATTTAGAAAAGAAGCCATTAACTTTTTATTTTATAGTTAAATTCATGGAGTTTATAAAACACTGCCAAAATTCTGTTTTGTCAATGTTGGGTCAAAACGGTACCCTATTAAGCCGGGTGGTGGTGGCACACGCCTTTAATCCCAGCACTCAGGAGGCAGAAGCAGACTGATCTCTGTGAGTTCAAGGCCAGCCTGGTCTAGAAGAGCTAGTTCCAGGACAGGAACCAAAAGCTACAGAGAAACCCTGTCTCAAAAATAAAATTAAACAAACAAACAAAAAAGGTACCCTAGCCAGGCAATGGTGGCGCAAGCCTTTAATCCCAGCACTCGGGAGGCAGAGGGAGAGGCAGGTGGCTCTCTGTGAGTTCGAGACCAGCCTGGTCTACAGAGCTAGTTCCAGGACAGGCTCCAAAGCTACAGAGAAACCCTGTCGAAAAAACAAAAAAAAAAAAAAAAAAAAAAAAAAAGGTACCCTATTTCTCCCCTCAAAGGGCAGGCCAACTGACCCATCCAAAATTGAGTCTAGGCCAAGCTCAGCCTGGACTATGGGAAGATTTCTTGTGGCCAGATAAAAGCTACCATTCTCCAGGAACTAACACAACTGGTTCCCACCTGTCAAAAGGAGTCATTTCTCTTACCTCTGGCAGAAGTGGCAACCTGTAGTTGCTATCAAAGACCACAGCTGCCTCCAGGGTTCGTCAGGATCACAAACACCTGCTACACATTTTAAGGTCCACACCTGGGTCTTGCATCCTGGGCCTTCTTACTTCCCTAGGATTCCTTCCTCTAAGATACCTGTTTGTTCTCTATAATGTCAAGGTTTCCTCCTATCCCACTACTTTCACTATATGATCTATATGTCCGTCTATCTATCTATCTATCTATCTATCTATCTATCTATCTATCTATCTATCTATCTATCTATCTATCCATCCATCCATCCATCCATCCATCCATCCATCCATCCATCCATCTATCTATCTATCTATCTATCTATCTATCTATCTATCTATCTATCTATCTATTTCATCTGTTTATATCATCTATCATTTATCTGCCTATTTATCTAATCAATCTGTCTATCATCTTTCGCTAGCTACTTATTCTCTCTTTTTCTCTTTCTCTCTCTAACCATGCTATATTCTCTCTCTCTCTCTTGCTATCTTGCTGTGTCCACTATTTTCCCCCACTTCCCTAGCCCTGGCCATGTTCAGCCTGCTTCCTTTTCTCTCTGCTCTCTTTCACATCAACAATAAATGCTTCAACCATATCATGGAGTTTCTTTGTTGGCAGTTTCTTTACTGAACCCCTCACATGCAATCACTACTTCCAACTAGTCTCTTTTCTGCACCTAACTCCACTGTCTAGTTGGTGATCCTTTTCAATGAGCTATGATCACATGTTGAAATATGGTGTTGTTCGTAGATTTGTTTACAGAGAAGTTATCACACTTTAAGGCTTGTTCTACAACTTACTTTCAGTTTGTCAGTAATACATCTTGGTTGTCTTTTGGTCATTTGAAGAGGAGATAAAAGGACAGGAAAAAGAGAACTCCTGGCCTCCCCACTGACAAGGGTCATATCTATAGTTTCCGTATCTAGGGCAGGATGACTATTGCTAGGCATTAGGAACTTCCCCACTTGAACCCCACCTTATAGGAATAGTCTGACTTGAGTCCAAGACTGTGTTCAAAGATTGCTTTACGGCACTGCTTATAATGGAGGAGGGGCCAAACTAAAATGTGTATACATTGTAGAAATTTAAAGAAATGGACCTTAGTAGTTCCTACTTTTTGATTGAGCTCTACATTTTTCTGCTTCCCTCCCTGCCTCTCCTCTCCTCTTCAACCCTCTCCCAAAGTCCCCATGCTCCCAATTTACTCAGGAGATCTTGTCTTTTTCTACTTCCCATGTAGATTAGATCCATGTATGTCTCTCTTAGAGTCCTCATTGTTGTCTAAGTTCTCTGGGATTTGTAGACTGGTTTTCTTTGCCTACTTTTAGCTTAGGCACTATGATACCAACTGATTATTATAAGTCTTCCTTGATAGATTTGTACTTTACACACTGAGACCAAATCTCTCAATGATTTTTATGTTCCTCAGGTCTGCCAGCTAACTCTTGGAGTTCTCTTCTAGGCCTCTCTCGAGTGCTGGGGTTACAGGAGGCCCACCAGGCTCGCTAGACTTCAATGTGTGTTCTAGGGATCCAGATTCTGGTCCCCACCTTTGTGACACAAGCACTTTATGGAGTAAAGCCAACTCCCCAGTCCTTATCTATTATTCCTTTTCAACAAGTAAACCCCTTGGCAGTGATCCCCAGGACCCGCAGGGTCAAGTGGTAGCATGGGTGGGGGGGAGGGACGGGAGAGGCAGGGGCATTGTGGAGGCAGGTGCCCAAAGTCACTGTATTTTACTGTTCTCTTACAAACAGGGATGAAGAGACTGTTTTACCCCATGCAGAGCAAAGAGTTAAGATCATGGAGATGATGACCTACTACACAGGGTCCCCCCTTGCATCCTGAAGCCTTCAAAGGTTGAGGAAAGATGAATAAGGACTCAGCCATCTTCTTACCCCAGACGGTCCCTGGCCTTCCACCAGTGAGGATCACATCTCTCCAATATCAAGTATTCCTCTGCTCTCTTCAGTGCCAAATTGCAGGGCTCCCGGGGCATGAAATCATAGAGAGCCTTGACCTGGATCCTCTCTTCAACAAGCACTGAGAGCGGGAGGGGAGGCAGCGGCTTGCGTTTTGAGGGTTGCGCCCCTCCTCTGTTGGACTGTAAAAAGAATTACGGTTTTAGTCGTTTGTGCCAAAAACCAGAAAACAAAACAAAAACCAAAACCAGGACATATGCATCTGCCTCCATCTCCCTTCTACCCAGCTCCACCAGTCCACCCAGGCAGGAACCAGGGACATGTGCTGCAAATGACTAACGGCCGCATAGCATCAGGGGACACTTGTCATTTTGTGACTTTTTGAAATCACAGATTCTCTCGACAGCATAGCTTTGGAGTTTCGTACATCGTGATTCTCAAAAGATGACTTACCCTGACACAGTTTCATTTGGCTTTAGTGATTGTTGGCCTGCGAGAAGAGAAGCCCACACCCTCCCCACCTCCTGCCCTTCCCTGGTGCTGTAAGCTTGTGTCTTGGAGGAGCGCTTCACCCTCCAGGCTGCTGTCTCTTCTCATCTAGAATTTAACCCTCAACCCAAGATGGCAGAGCCACAGTGTCTTTCCCCACTGTCTTGTTTCAAACTCTATCTTTAAGTCTAGCGAATTAGACTAGACTTAACTGGATTTCCCCCTCACTTTCTTCTAGAACACTATTGAGCTCTTACTGTGTACGGATCCTGATTTTAAGTTTTGGGCATGGGAACAAGCAGGACCTCCCCAGGGAGCTTGCCTGTGGGGGGACTCCCTGTGGAAATAATACTCACTTGCTTTTTGTTCTTCAACTTGTCAAGCCATGGCCTGTGACGCTGGGAATAATTTTCTGCAGGTTCTTCGTTTTTACTGAGGCTTATCTGTGTTCTTACTTGCCTGGCATCAGAAAGCAATCATTTTACAAACAGTTGTTCATGATGAGGGTATTCCCGAGTCCTTCAGAGTCTTCCAGAGATAAAGCAATCTGTGTGCCCTTTTTTGAGAAAGATAACTTCCTAGTTCTAACTCCTCGAGCGCATTCTGAACTACAACTCTGAGGATTTTGGTTTCTGCATCCAGAAGTCAGAAAAGAGAAGTGAATTCAGAGTTGTTTTTGAAATAAAGTTGCAAGAATGTGTCATGTGCCCGGAGTCCTATAGTTTTGAGGGCTCTAAAACTCGAGTCAATCCAACAAACACTCTGAGTCAGGCAGTGTGCAAAGCGCTTCCCGGTTCGTCCCTATCCCCTCTGGTTACACAAGTACAGGGTGAATGATTAAGAATGCAAGTGTAGCCAGGCAACGGTGGCCCACGCCTTCAATCCCAGCACTCCACTCGGAAGGCAGAAGCAGGCAGAAGAACTGTCCGTGAGTTCACAGAGCCAGTTTCAGGACAGCCAGAGCTGTTACACAGAGAAACTGAGTCTTGGGGGGTGGGGGAACACGTGTGCACCCTAGCTCCGCAATTTCATGCTGTGGCCTCAGACAAAACAAAGCAACCTCTCTGCGCCTTGGTTTTTCCTCATCTATAAAGCGAGGATTATAAAGGAAAACGCCATGGGAGGTTCTGAGAGCTATGTGAAGGAATAAAAGCAAACCTCTTAGAAGAGCGTTTATCGAGTGGCTGAGACATGATGCCTTGAGTTAATTCTTACACAATCACGTACCAAAGCAAGACTCGTGTAGTGAGGATTCTCGTGCTTAAGGGGAAAAATTACTGAGGGGAACACAGACATATAAAACAAGCAAGCAAACAAATGAGGGCAGAACCATGCCACATTCTGTGGGAACACACAGAAGTGAGTGTGTGCGGGGCAGTGTAGGAGGGATGGAGGACCAGCGCACCCCTACAATTTGACTTAAGTCTTTAAGAAATCGAGCCGAGCCGATCAACAGGGACCCAATGGGAAAAAGCTTCCCAGACAGAAGCAAGAGACGCAGACAGGAGACTCAACAGACAGTCAAGACACTGCATTACCCCGTTTCCCAGAAACTGCCCTCGCGGCCGACTCACCTCTTCTGCATGGAGCAGCAGCAGCAGCAGAGAACAGACTGGAAGGTGCTATCTAAAAAGGAGATCATTGTCAAGTATTAGGAAGCCATGGGTCCATGACAGGGGGTAGCTGAAGCTCGCTGGGCCCCGGATAAGAGCGGGGAAACCATGACTGTTCAGAAACAAAGGAACATCATAACCCTCTTCAGCAGTGGAGACAAAAAAAGTCACCAAAAAAAAAAAAAAATGTTACTGGCACCCTGACCAGTGTGGTTTCCCTTCTCAGGCTCTTTTCTCTGGCCTGGTTTCTGCATTTCCTTTGTCATGAGTGATCAGGGGTCACTATACTCTATTGCTTTTGTCATGGTTAGTGTTGGCCATCGGTACAGAAGAATGGGTTTCCAGAAACAGTGAAATCTATTAGCAGGAGTTTGAAGTTAGGACCACCACAGTTTTTAGAAGGCTTTAAAAAATGAAAACTAAACTCTCTACTTCACTACAGAGAGCTGGTAAACTTAATCTTTGTCTGATTTTAAATTAGACCGCCAATCTCTTGGCCTATTATTTTTCCTAGTTCCCGATTAACAAGCCAACTAGTTTGCCATTGCCCGTGAACCCATGTCTGTTAACGGTTCAGGCTAACTCTTTCCCTCGGCGAGCAAACTCGGGCTCCCTGAAGTCTCGGGGGGCCTTTCTTTCAGTGTTAATTTCTAAACTCCTTCTGAATGAGACACTCACACACCTCTTTCCTTAGCGCACAGGGAACTGTGACCCCACTGGTAGTGGCTAAAGGGTAAGAGCTGTTATGTCTCCTGGGGGCTCCTTCCATAATGCCACTTCCACGTTACCAGGTAACGCCTATAAGCTCAGTTTTGCAATTCATTGAGCCAGAGAAGTCCAGGCTCATGAGAGACAGTTTGAATCACGTAAGTATTAGATTCACGATCAAGAATCTAGGCTTAGGGCTGGCGCTATGGCTCAGAAGGTAAGAGCACTGGGTGCTCTTCCAGAGGACAGGGTTCGATTCCCAGCATGCACATGGTGGTTCACAGTTATCTGCTATTCCAGTCCTGAGGCATCCGGCACATTCTTCAGGCCTCTGTAGGCATCAGACACAAATATATGGTACATAGAAAGCAGACACCCAGATACATAAATAAAATGAATTGAAAATTAAATGTTAGAGATTTATTTATTTAAAAAAATCTAGTTGTACCTATCCTCAGCTGCTGCCAAAGTGAGAAAAACCCTGAGGCCATGTTGGAGTGAGGCCCTCACTCTGTCCAGTGATGGTCCACACCATGGCCTCTGTCTGCAGACTCATCTTGCTGCTTCTTGTGTGGTGATGAAGTAACCCTCACAGAGACTAAACCATCACCCTCATTAAAGTAGCTGCTGGCATCAACATTGAACCCTTTGGGCCTGGTTTGTTTGCAAAGGCCTTCTTCAGTGTTGACGTTGGGACCCTCAGATACCAATGTTGGAGCTCATAGACCTCCTCCAGCGGCTACAGCGGCTGGCGCTCCAGGGGCTGGCGCTCCAATGGTTAGTGCTCCTGAGGCCAGTGCCTCACCAACCGAAGGTCCAGGCCCCTTAAATGCTGCTGGCCCAGTGAGAAGGAAGTGGAAGCCTCAAAGGAAGAACGTAATGCTGCCATGGGCTTCGGTCTTTTTGACTACATGTCTTTTGAAACAAAAAGCTAGACTCATAAAAGACTGTGGGAACCAGTCCTTACTATCAGCTGTGAGTTACTTTTCAAATAGAAAGTGGTTAGTGGCAAAGTTCAGAAACAACTCCAAATTCCTGGGATTTTTCAAAAGTTCCATGTGGACAGAACCTGACCAGCGACAATTTGAGAAGTTCATAAGTAGGTCGTTTCCATGAACCACATTTTTCCCTGATTCTTAATGTGACCAAATGAATTTTAGTTCTGACTTTGAATCTGCCTTCTGGCACCACTAGACAGGACTCCCACAGGGAGAAGCATTTGCTGGGTGTGAGTTTCACACCTTTAACTGTCTGGAGGCAGATCTCTGAGTCAGGTAGATCTCTGAGTTCAAGGCCAACCTGATTTACATAGCAAGTTTCAGGCCTTAAAAGAGACCCTAAGTTTAAAAGAGATTTAAAGAATTGTTTATTTAGTGTGTGTGTGTCCGTGCCCAAGGAGCATAGAAGCTGGCATTGGATCTTCTGGAGCTGGAATACAGGCACTTATAAGCCGTATAAGGTGGGTGTTGGGATCCTGACTCTGGTCCTCTGTGAGCGTACCAAGTGCTCCCAACTACTGAACCATTTCTCCAGGCCCATAAAAGAGCTACTTAGAAAGGTATCAATCACAAAGCAATAGAAAGGAGGAAAGGAACCACAGAGATATGCAAGGTGCTACCTTTAGTTGGCCTTTTCTGTCACTGTCTTTAAGCTAAAAGGCCGAGGAGAAAGAGAGAAAGTGAAGTGGGAGAGAGGTCACCTCGCTCCCAGCTTCTATGGTCTCACGATCTGATCTTAAGGGATACAGATGGCTCCAAGCATTTCCCCTACATTTTCCACCGGCCTTTCCTCACCGCAATCCAACCAGAAACCAGACGGTTTAAAATCACGTTACTTGAACCCTTCCGTACTCCCCCACATGCCCTTGCCATGCCATGGTAGAAAGCAGGCTGAGAGGAAAGAGTAAGAAAAGAGACAGAGGTGGTGGAGCCATTGCGGAGCTTGGCTACCATATTTAACCCCTACCATATCTGTATTCACACAGTTACAGATTTGCCTTTCTCTGATTTAGACTCAGCCGTTGCACACTCACTGAACCGCTGACACGCTGGGTGCAGTTATGAACTCTGGTCTCCAACATGGGTTAAAGTCTAATCCCTGACACACCCCTTAGCTGGCCCTATTGCTGTTTATGACTCGTTCTGACTTAGTTACTTTCTCTTTTCTTTTCCTGCAACCAAGAAGCATCTGAAGGCTTAAAAATAAAATTCGTTTTCTCCTTCCTAAAGATCTTCAGCATGTCATGTGACCGGATGTTCAGATCCCAGCTGCTTCTGTCCATTTTCATCGGTTTTGTGTGATGTTTATATGAGGAAACTGCCAAAAAGAAAGAAAGAGAGATGGACAGGCAGACAGGCCAGTCCTCAGAGCGAGGCGACATTAGCCCTTCAGAACTCCGTCTGCTTTGGAGGAGTGAGCCCCACTGGCATGCTGACCCGTTTACTGCACAGTTGCTGTAGAGCCTCACGAGATCTTTGTCTACCAGCCCAGGAGATAAGTACGTATAGGTTAAAGAAACGAGGAAAGCAGGTCAGTACGGAACAACCTGTGAGAAAGTGCCATGTCCAAGGTCGATTAGAGGTATTCCGATTCAAACCTTTTACCAGCATTTCTCTCCCTGTATCTCTGTTTTCTCTTCCTCATTGGACCATTTCTGTCCGTACAAACACACTGTCCATCCACCACTGTCGCAGAACAGAGGGCCCTGTAGCCATATTTCCTACATCAGTTTTACTCCTTTAGTGGTCAAATCTGGAAAAGAATAGCCTACACTTGTTGCTGCTGATTGCTCTCCTATCTTCTCTTTCTTCTGAAACACTGCTCTAAACATGGACACACACCGTGAAATCCAGGGGTCCGTTCCAAGCGGTCTCACACGACCTGTGCTGTGGCCCTGTACCCCCTTATGCTTGTTCTAGGCTTCTTTATCTACCTCTCTGGCCTCTTCATCTTGGACGGCCTCCGAAGCCTTCATTCTTGGCCTCATCCCCTCCTTTGATGATTTCATTTCCTCCGGTGGCTTAAAAAGACTCCTCATCACCTCGTGACCCACAGATGCACACACCCAGCCCGATTCTAATGTGCTCCAGCTGGACACAGCCACACAAACCTTCAAACTCCCCATTTGGATGTCTAGGAGTCACCTCGACTGGACGTTGAGATGTAATCTGAGCTCTTTTTCTTCCTCCCTTCCCCATCTTTCTCCACCCACCCTTCTACATCTCATCAAAAGCGGTCCTCTATTCCCAGTGGCCGGGGCCAATGACTTCTCAGTCATCTTCGGCCCACCTCTTTCTCTCACACCTCAAGCCACTGTGGCAGGAAAGCACATGCCTTGAAAACAGAGTGGATTTGGTGACACATATCTGTAATACTGGCACTCGCGGGATTGAAGCAGGAGGACGGCCGTGAGTTCAAAGCCAACATGGGCTACATAGTAAATACCATGCAAGCCAGGGCTACATAGAGAGACCCCTGACTTAAATGGAGGGGGTACATGTATGTGTGTGTGTGTGTGTGTGTGTGTGTGTACACGCACGTGTACTCACAGGTGCACACAGGCTTGTATATCCAAGAAATTCAGTATTTCAGTTCTGGAGATGGATCATGGTTAAGGGTGTACAACAATGTGATTGTATTTAATGCTACTGAAAATAGTTAAAACAGTGAATTTTCTTCAGAATATTGCTATAGCTTGCATCTTGACTATCCCACCAAAGTCTGGGAAGTGAAGGCCTGATTCTGTCTGTGGTATTGCTGAAATACACTGTAGGTAGAGAGGAGGAGACCTAGGAGGAAACTGGGCTATTGGGAGTGTATTCTTGAAATAGTTATTGGAACCTCAACCCCTCCTCTTCCTTTCTCTTTAAAGCTGACTAACATATTTCCCCTCCCCATAGACAAATAACACTCCACCCCCACACATACAGCCCCCCCCCCCCCCCCCCCCCCCCCCCCCCCCCCCCCCCCCCCCCGTCTCATCTGTGACTGCTGTGGCCAAACCGCTGTTATCTCACCTGGTGGCTTCCTATTTGCACCCTGACCCCTCTACAGTGTGTTCTCAGCACAGTGGCCAGAGCAACCTCTTTTTGGACCCACCAGACCCTGTTACTCTTTGTCTGCTGTCCATCATTCAGAGTTGCAGTCACCATTCTCACGGTAGCCTAGGAAGCCCTCCATGATTGGCCTCCTTTGGTCCCTCACCTCTCCACCAGGTTCCTGCTCATTTCCCTCCAGTCCCCAGCCCCCCACCGGCTTCTGCAGCACATCAGGCCAGCTGTGGGCGCGGGACTCTTGGCTTTGGTTTAGCCTAAAGTGTCTTCCCTCAGGCTCGGCTGCATCAGGGCCCCGCAGTCTCTCCAAGCCTTTGCTCATATCTGGCCTTGAAGTATGCTGCTCTTACTGCCAACTGGGGCGGCCCCCAGACACTTCTTCCTCTGCTCTGGCTTCTTTTCTTCCTCCCATTCATTCTCCCCTTTTCACATACTATGCAATTTACTTTTTTCTTTGAACTTTCTGCCTTCCCTTTAGAAAGTCAGCAGAGTTTTTTTTTTTTTTTCTATTGGGCTTATGGTTATGGTTATTTCCCAAGAGACTAGAACAGATCTTCAGAAATGTAAGTGATAAATATTTTTGGATAACTGAATGAGTGAATGTGTTTGAAGGAGCATCAAATTGTAAGCTTGCTGAGAACATGTTTCGGGGCTGGCAAACTGTCCTTGGCAACCGAGTGCGGATACAGACGGAAACAGTGAGCTCTGAGGACACAGAGGATTAGGGTGTGAACATCTTTGAAGCAGAGGAGGCCCAGGCCTGAGGACTTTCCTCTTTGCTGTGGTGGGGTGTGAACAGATAGTAGAGGGACCATTAGAAAGACCAAGGTATGGCTGACTGCAACATAGGCAATGGTGTAGTCAGGTATGCTAGGACCATGTCTGGCCTCGCTTTTTAAATCTGACCTAAAATATTTAATGTAATAAAAGCTAAGACTAGTCACTTTACATGGTTTCTATATTTTCCTATTGCCAAAATGTTTAAACTTTAAAAATCTATAAATTAAAAGAAGACAAACCCAGAAAGTCAAACAAGGCTATGATTAGGTAGGCAGCTGTTCTAGGACTTTGTACATATATGTGATTTTTAGTGACGAATACGAGCAGGTTTTATTTCTTGAATTCATCTACCATCTTATGCTTTTATGATTCATCTTCTCCATTACTCTCAATAAGAAACCCACCTACTGTTTCTGCTCCCTGATCTTCTCATGTCTGTCAGGCCACCACAGAAACTTAGGGTTCTTTTCTAGACCCATCTGTATGGCCAATCGGCCATCACTCTGTTCCCTTCCTGTATAGCCAAATGCTCATCAGTCTGTTCCTTTCCTGTATACCCAAATGGTCATCAGTTAGTCTGTCCTATCCTATAAAACCAATTGAGCCATCAATCTGTCCCATCCTGTATAACTAATCGGCCATCAGTCTGTCCCATCCTGTATAACCAATCAGCCATCAGTCTGTCCCATCCTATAAAACCAATTGAGACATCAATCTGTCCCATCCTGTATAACTAATCGGCCATCAGTCTGTCCCATCCTGTATAACTAATCGGCCATCAGTCTGTCCCATCCTGTATATCCAATCAGCCATCAGTCTGTCCCATCCTGTATAACCAACCAATCAGCCATCAGTCTGTCCCATCCTGTATAACCAATCAGTCATCAGTCTGTCCCATCCTGTATAACCAATCAGCCATCAGTCTGTCCCATCCTATAAAACCAATTGAGACATCAATCTGTCCCATCCTGTATAACTAATCGGCCATCAGTCTGTCCCATCCTGTATAACCAATCAGCCATCAGTCTGTCCCATCCTGTATAACCAATCAGCCATCAGTCTGTCCCATCCTATAAAACCAATTGAGACATCAATCTGTCCCATCCTGTATAACTAATCGGCCATCAGTCTGTCCCATCCTGTATAACCAATCAGCCATCAGTCTGTCCCATCCTGTATAACTAATCGGCCATCAGTCTGTCCCATCCTGTATAACTAATCGGCCATCAGTCTGTCCCATCCTGTATAACCAATCAGCCATCAGTCTGTCCCATCCTATAAAACCAATTGAGACATCAATCTGTCCCATCCTGTATAACTAATCGGCCATCAGTCTGTCCCATCCTGTATATCCAATCAGCAATCAGTCTGTCCCAGCTTCTCAGCTTTTCCCTTCTTTTCCACTTTGTCATCCACCTTGCCCCAGCTTTCACCAAGTCACACGCATCCATTCACCTGCTCTGCTCTCACCACAACCTTGTGGAAAGGAAGCACTCTGCAGACGTGGATCACGAACCACGGAGAGGTTGCGTGAGACCAAACAGGAACAATACACCTTGAAAGTTAAAGGGAGAGCAAAAGAGGAAGAACAGACCTTACAGGTTAAGGGTTCTGTCTGCAGGTAAGGCGGTCAATGGGTTCCGTCTGCAGGTAAGGCGGTCAATGGGTTCCTGATTGTCCCTTGCAAATCCTTTCAAGTTAAGGCTTCTACTTATAATTAAGAAAAAGTCCCTGTTTGTCCTGTGTTTGACCAAGGCTTCTGTTTGTAATGAAGAATAAGTTCCTGTTTCTTAGACCTGATGGAAACTGCTTGCATCCTCATTCAGAAGGTGTAAAACCTTACCCTTGTCCCTCTCTCTCACTGTATAGCAGCCAACTCTCTCACCCCTATAGACATCTTCCCTCTCCTATAAAAGGAACTTCAGGAGGCCAGCAGGGGCTACCCTCTCAGATCCCAATTTAGGGTGATTCATAGATGCACCCCAAAATAGGCTTTCTTTAATTGTACAGCTGTGGGTTTGGTCTTTTCTCCTCTCGGTTCTCAGGTTTAACAGTTACTCCCTAGGAGAGTCAAAGAGCTACTCTGTAGAGATGCAGGACCTGAAGCTAAGTCTGTACCTGACTCTGCCTTGTGCTGTCTCTTCCTGTCATCCTGTGGTCCCTAAGGCGGCCTCTGCCAGTAGCTTGCTGTCTTCACTAGAACTCTGCCCTTCATCTTCAAGACTTCTCCACTCGGCTTTGTTGTCCGCCACTCCTACTGCATCCCCTGTCCCACTCACTCTGTTCTCAGAGATCCTTTGAACACTTCTGAAAAGACCTCCCTTTACCATCCACTCCCATCTTTCTGTGGCTCCCCAAAGCACGTGTCATCTGTCCTGGGCTGTGCTACGTGACGAGGTCCCACTCTAAATGCCCGTCTCTTTTTGTAGGCTTTACTTTTCTCGGGTATCTCAACCTCGCTGTTATTGCCATTCACACCCGATGGTTCTTTCCTGTGGAGGTCCTTTCTGTGTAGCACCCTTACTGCATAGAAGAGGCACGCAGCAACAAGGCCTCCTCCCCCTGACACCCACACCACTATCACCCTCCAGCTGTGAAAATCAAAACATTTCCACACACTATAAAACGTCCCACAGGGGTAAAAGTTATCCTGAGTTGAAAGCAACTATGTTTTAAGCACTTTCCATAAGTCTTTCTGTTCCGAGGGACTGTATCCTACTCTGCTTTGCTTTTTCATGGATCCTGATCAGTACCTGACATGTAGCTCCGTAAGGAACTGCTGAATAGGACCTGGCTGGTCTCACCGTTGCATAGCCCTGCCATGGAGGATCTCAGGCCTTGATGCCGCACACAGAGACAACCCAGGACCTTTGACTGGCTGATCATGTGGAAGAGCAAAGCTGAAATTTGGCTTTGGGAATACTAACTAGCATCTGTATTGGGCCTCAAGCCTAAGACTTCATTCCAGATCTCCGTAAAAACAAAAGTCGAGAAACGTTTATCCAAAATTAAACACTGAGGCTGGTCTGATAGTAGTGTGTTATCATCCAAAACCAGGCATCAAAACATGAAACGCTAAACAGAATTATTTCAGTGATACCCATTTTTTATTAGGGTTAGCATATGGAGTCAAAGAAGACATGACTGATCCGTTATCTTAGAGCAAAGAGATGATTCTTGACAACTAATCAAGAGCTTCATTTGGAGGTAATGAACACAACTAACAAAACCTGTCTCCGCCGGGCGATGGTGGCGCACGCCTTTAATCCCAGCACTCGGGAGGCAGAGGCAGGCGGATCTCTGTGAGTTCAAGACCAGCCTGGTCTACAGAGCTAGTTCCAGGAC